CCTAATGTTCTGGCTGTCCACTCACTTCACTCCTCAGTGACAGTCTACCACTACTAAAGAGGATTCTGCTAGCAATGCAGCAAGGGCCCATCCTACACTGAAGTGTCAGACCTAAACAGAATTAGTAGTGAACCTCTCTGAAAGTGGAGCCCTGCTCCAACCAGGTCAAAGACCATGCAAACTAAGGGTCTGTTCTAACAAGTTTAGATAATGATTTTAGTTTAGGAGGGTATGGAAGAAAGAAAAGTAATTGTGTATTGTGATTCAAGTTGAATTTGTATGTGGCAAAACTGGCAACTGCTAGCAAAGTTCCCTGAAAATATTCTCTTTGAGTATTGTTATTGAGAGTTTTCATCTGAGTGTCAGACGATATTTCATCAGATGCTTTATTAAGACGTGAAATTTGGGCTTTGGGGAGCCTGAAGAATAAAATTCCCAAAACTATTCCAGTCATCTTTCTATAAATCTAAGAGAAAGAGTCAGGTACATTTTCAACAGAAAAATAAGTAATGAAGTTATGCTCTGTGTAAAAAGTCAAAGACCACTATAGGGAAGGGAAGGGAGGAAAAGAAAGGCACTAGTGAATTTAATGACTACCCAGAGCACACAGACCACCACCTTAGTGATCTCCTTGGTTTTTTATGTCAACAGATAAACTACTTTTAGTTGGAGGACACATATGAAAATCTCCATAAAAAATATTTCCAAGCATAAGCCTGTTCTTCTCATTAATGCCTCATCATTTCAGTGCCTGCAAGAAAATACCTACATTTATAACCCATCTGATAAGTAAGTTAAGTATCATGAGCCCAGAAAATATGAATCACATCAGAAACATCTGAATAGCTTGGAAAACGTTATTATACCAACATATTAAAACTTGAAGAGGAAAACCTAGAATGCTTTCAAGAAACTATTATTCATATTATTGTTCTAAAGTTAGACAATAGAATAGATTTATGTACCAGGTACATAAAAAAGTACACCCAGAGCTGCAGTGCCCTCACTGTGACGTAGATTTTTCATTCCATTAAAACCAGTTCTACAGGCATGGAGAGCTCTACTTTTGACTTAGTCTGCAACATTTTGTTAAAAGAGCTCCAAATAAATGCTAGTAATCCCTTTTACTAACTTCAGGACAAGTTAGCGTTCCATATTCACAACAAACACTGTGATTTCTCTAGCAGGTTAAACAGCTAGGAAAACTAATTTTTTTTTTAAAGATGGGCTTTGAAACTCATCTTGGCGCCAGGGGATTTTCAAACTTGCTACATTTTGCCTTAATTCTCTTCAGTTTAGAGAAGTTACACCCTTGGGGAATACCACCACCCACAACATATTGATTGAATATAGTAATATAAGCACAAGTGGCTGTAGGTAGTATGTGCAGGCTTGAGATTATCCAGCCATGCTGCCAGTGGCCTACTGGGACTGGCTGCTGCACACAAATGCTTCAATGATACCTTTCTTCTTAACTGTCCAACAAAACCAATAGCTATGTGAAGGGCTGCCATTTTCTCTCAAACAGTTGCTAAGTCTATTATTATTATTATTATCATTATCATTATCATTATTATTATTATTATTATTATTATTATTATTATTATTATTATTATTATTATTATTATTGGAGCAGTAAACCCAGATAGAGAGAATCCCTGATCTAGGCCACAAGGCTGAAGATATTTCTTAACCAGTTCGATAGCATTAAGTCTCTAAAATAATAATTTCTCTAGAAAAACAACATATTCTTTTTCATTTTTTTGTTTGCACTTCTTGTGTTTAGCACTAGCTTTACAAATTGCTGGCCTGTAAATCCACCAAATTTAAAAGATATTATCAGATGTGCTTCTCCAGTCCATTTGCTGGACACCAGAAAGAAACATGTATGTACATTAAAATATCTACAGCAATTTTAGAAGTCCAGGTTTCTTTACTGTAACTGACTTCCAGGTGATGGTGACTGTGAAACAAGAAAAGGTTTTGCTTGCTTATAAAGCCCTGTGAATTACTAAGTCTTCAGCAGAGAAATACTGCTTTTAAATCAATACAGATGTGAAAGAAAATAGAAAGTTGAGGTTGGGTGGTTGCTTTTCTGAGGAAGAGGAAGAAAAAGAAGCAAGGATATAGAAATCACAGTTTCCAAGATAATTCCCCAGTGGGAATAAATTAAGGCTGTGCCTCATCTTTCTACATAACAAACCACTATGGTCCCTCTTAAGTCAATCACAGTGCTTCCGCTGAATTTCCCCAAAATATATCACCTGTGAAGTTTTCCAGCACAGGATGTAGGGCATGCTAATAAACTACAATATTGCCAATACAAAGTATTTCATCATGGAGGAATCGTAACTGCCAAATGATTGAAAACACCACCAAATTTACACAAAACAAAATCCAGACTTTATATTCTTCTTGCTACTCAAAGTGGGCAAAAGACAACTAAACAACACCATTGCTGAACAACTGAGCTACAAACATGCAAACTTTTCTTTCAGGAATAATGTTTTTGCAAAATTGCTAGCTTACTAAGTACATTAAGAATTTTTGGTTATTACTTACATCGAGATTATTTTTTTTTCCCTTTGCAAAAGCCAATCTCCGAGACCTCAAATCAAAAGATTAGGAAACACAGTTAGACTTTTCTCTGAAGTGACTTTGCCAACAAACCTTCAGCAACTGTAAGGAGAGATTTTACAGGGATCAAAGAGATCAAGACTGGAGAAAAGGCTCATTATAAATGTATTGTTTGCTAGCTAGTGGATGTTTGCACATGATCCGTCTCACTCCTTGTCTCACTGGTTTGCCCTCATTCAATGTTTTGAGACATTCATAGACAGAAGATTAACAGGAATAAAACTTCTCCAGCCCTAGTGATAGATTCCAGTTTCAGCAAAATGTAGCCTACTTCTTCCAGGAGCTGAGCTGGAGAACAACAGCAGTTGTTCAAGCACAGAACATCTAATTAGCAGATATTAAGAGAGCATCAGTACTCTTCAGCTGACTCTAAATATACTATTAGCATTACTATCTAACGGTGGGGGGGGGGGTAATTAAGTTAATATGCATCAGGATTTTCCCTTATTGCATCACATGCTGCAAGCACTTGACATCTCTGGAAATCTATATATTCTAGGTCTCAAAACCTACAACAATGAAAGGATGCTTTTCCTCCTCCATTCATCTCACTAGGCTTTGGACCATGAAATAAAGTGACCTGGAAATAAATTATGAATGTCTGAGCACTAAAAGGGCTTAAGAACATCCACACCACAAATCCCTACACAAACCTGCATACTTTTTGAACTTTGCTCATATAGCTTCCGACTGAAGTGTGCTACAAAAGCTTGACAGTAAAGTCAGTACCAGTAAGTCTGCCCTTCGTCAAATTTAAACCAGTATACTACTAAGAATTTAAAATATTATAAGCATCAAATTCCTGCAACTAAAAGTGTTCCACTAACCAAAGAAACATAATTACGCTGTATTGGATCAAAGGAAATAAACTTCAGTTGCTACTAAAGAGGCCATAACGTGCAGCCTAATATAATGACAGGGCAACAGCTACTCTGACTGGAAAGGCAGGTAGGGATGGGCTCTCAAATACCAGTCAAAGAATTAAAATTATCAGATGTCTTCTGTTAATGGCCTAATAAAATAAAAGATACAGCAACCTCAGTCCACAGACCTATTAAGCTAAATTACTAGACAAGCAGACATGAGAGGCTCTGGGTCTTTGCCTGAACACTAAGGCTGTCTAACTAAAGAAACTTTAGACAGTTGCTGCCTGGAAAACTGAGGACATGGGCAAGATGTCAACATCTCAAAATGTACTTTCATAAGGTATTCCTGGAGTGATTCCTCGTTCACATGCGAGAAGTGAGAGCAGAGTAGGGCTTGATGTCTATGCATTTTTGCTGAGGAACAGTCTAGCTGCTCACCTATCTGCCCTGACCTTTTGTCTCAGCCGTGGCTTGGCTGAAATCTCAAGGTACATATGAACCGTGAACACGAAATTTTGGGGTGACTGTTCCAGTTTTCGTTTTAAAAACAAATCTTAGTGGTGAATCTTCCTCACCACTAAGCTGCTGCTTTAGCCAAGATTCAGGTGTTTCTACCACGATAATATGAAAACGAGATCAGAATAACACATCAAGCGTTCAGAAGCCATACTCAGATTTGCAGGAGGAGGCAACTAATGACTCAGCTCATTTCTCGCTGCAACAAAACAAAATAGCCTAGACACAAGTTTGGATGCAAACATTCTGTCTGCTCCAGCCATGGACAAAGATCTTACCTCTAGTATGTTTGCTTTCCCAAGCTAAGCAGTGATGGGCCTTGGCTTATACTATGATAAAAAATTCCCAGCATCCAACCAGAGAGTGTTACAAGAAGTATAACTAAGATAGTGACTAAGCATCTCCCTTTTCTTAGAAATTATACTAGTATAATGCTCCAGTGGCTGCCAGTGGTACTAAGGGAACCACTTTTCCACCTAGGATGGAAAACTCTGGGCTTGACTTCTTGTTCTCCTTTAGAGTCCTATGGGGCCTTTTAAAAACCTAGTGGATCCTGGCCTTCTAGTCACGGTTAAATTTCAACTGAGGCACATGGTTTTGTCTGCCTCAGTCCTTCCTCCAATTTTATTTGAATAAAGTACTCTTCATGTCCTGTCTTAAGGTGCAGAACACTATAGCTAAGTACCCATTCGTAAATCTCTACTGCAATTCAATAATTAAATTATTCACAGAACGTACTGTGTATTCTGTGACATGCTATGTAACAGTTAGATATTATTAACAACTAAGTATATCATAAGCCAGTGAAAATTAATTACACTTTTCCAGAAGAGAAAAGAAATAGCTTTGTGCTCATAAAACAGATTGGTCCGATCCTCAGCTTTGAAAAGCCTACCTCCCACGCTGCTCTGGATTGCTGTAGAAACCTGGCAATAATTACAACTACTGTGTCAGCTATGCCCGAGACAATTACTCTCAGGTCTAGAAAGCACAGACAGAGCGCAAAGCAAGAAATAATGATAAATATGCTTCTGTAAAAATAGTTTCCGGTACCTGATTCTCTATGGCCTTCCTGTTTTTTGGATCGCTAACAATTGAGAGTTGCAACTCTGCCATCTTTTTCATCTTGCCATCCATGTCAATCTTCTGGAAGAAACTTTTGGTTTGATTTTTCAGCAGCCGAATGGTGTCCTCCTTCCCAAGCTTCTTCGCAAAGAGTGAAGCACAGGCCGAATGTATGGCAGTAACCCAGTTTTCCAGATCTGTCTGGCTTGTCGCCTGTGAAACAAATCAATGGCACAACATTATGAGCAGACAAGAGGGGAAAAAAAATAAAACAGCAGCTCTAGGACATGAAGGGCTTGATGGGTTCACTGTGATCTTAGGCATCTTATGTTAAAATGAGTGAAATAAGGTTTTACCTTTATAACTCTGCAAATAAAGGAAGTGTAAGATTTTCCTGAACTCTGACATTACTTGCCACCAACTTTGAGCTTCTGTATCTTAGACCTGCAAGGTCTGAGAGCTCCAGGAGCACAACAGAGCCCCACAAGCTGTGGGAAAGATATGTCTTGCATACTTCATCCTTCCAATTAATTAATGTAAAACCCACCAGGTTTCACAGATAAACTAACCTCTTTGCAGGTAACAGCAACAGAGAAGATTTTACACGTAGAGATGTTTGCTTACTTAAAAAATGTCAAGTTAGTGGAGAGAGGACACCAAGGTAAAGAGAATACATCTACAGTGTCTCTGGAGGTATTTACAAGTGTACCTATGAATCAACATGTTTCTAGGCAGGCAGTTCCATATAATACCGTTCTTTATTAACATTTCCAGTGGTGCAGTTAAGCAACCAAGATCTTTAGATTATTTTTAGCCTTCTTTTTTTGAAAATCTTGCTCAAGCAAACTCTCTTTGAGGCCAGCAGATTCAGGGTTGAGCACACCATTCTGTAAGGGTGGAATGCAAATAGATGTGAAAAAAATTGATAATAAAACTGAGTTTCTAGAAGCTTGTAACAAACAGGTATGAAAAGTATCTTGCAGATGTGTGATCTTTGCTCTTTTTATTTCCGAACTATAACTGACTGAGCCAACTGGTGTACTATCATATACTTGAAGTCATATCATACACTTAAATCAATATTATAATAGCATAGTGCAATTGCGTAATTATGCTATTATTTTAAATTCAAAGGCACAAGCATTATGCCTGTGTGTGCATGTGTATATACGTGCATGCACATACTCACAAACACAGCCTAAAATGGAAACAATCACCAAGTTATGTATGCTTTTTGTTACCTGAAATAGGTAGACATCTCCAAAAGAATTGCTGAGACAGAACACGTTTTCTTTCCTGGGATGTTCTGGAACAGACTGAACTATACTGTCTTCTGCAAACAGGGCGTATCGAGGCAAACTGCTCTGCTCCATTGAGTTCCTTCCATAGGTCTCATAAAACAGCAGAGTACAACCTTTCCAGTTCAGAGGGACAAAAAAACATAAGGAGAAAGTAAGTTCTGAATCTCCTATTTGAGTTCGCTTGTATTAATGCTTTTGTGAATTAAGACACCCTTCTGTGATAGGAACCATCAGTTCTGCCCCTCTTTTGAAATAGAGAAAAAAGTAGTATCTTCTAAAATGGAAAATAGGCAAAGTTAATAATGAATTTGCCAGTGAATAGCAGGAACAGACATCTAACAGGGACACAACAAACATACATGGACTTAAAAAATAAAACAGGATACCTCAACATGAAAGTGTTCGAGGTCAGTTTGGATGGGGTTTGAGTAACCTGATCTAGTGAAAGATGTCCCTTCCCCATGGCAGGGGTGTTGGACTAGATACTACTATATGTATCTTCCAACCCAAATCATTCTGTGATTCTATGAATAAACTCAGCCTATTAAAATGTTAAAGCATGTAGAAAAGTTTAATTCCTGCTTAGTTAAATCAGCTTTTGTGTTTCTTTATTAAATTGAACCAAGTCTCTCATAACAACCACCTAAGAAATTTTTGTATTTGTTGAAAAGATTTGCAGAAACTTTTGTCTTCAAACAACATGTTCAGTGAATAAATTTCACAAATTTAAACCATATTTTTTTGAATCTACTTGCAAATTGGAGACTAAGACAACTCTGAATAATTAAAAACAGTTCAAAGAGGCTGAGTATAGGCATGTTCAGTCTTGTAGGCACAAAACTTGCATCCAGAAAACAAACTTCATTCTTGACGATGACAATCCTGAGTGAAACATGGAATTACTTCTCGAGGACAGCAGAGGCAACCTGATCCCAGTCCCTAGCAGTATGACTACATTGCCATGTTGCCTTTAGCAGTGAAGCTGGCTCAAGAAGGGCCCGTCCCCTCCATCTTCACCAGCCTTTCATTCCTGCCTCATGTTACAATCCACTGTCCTCTGGAGTGTACTGATTTGCCTGTTCAAGGGGTCACCAAATGAACTGCATTTCTAAAATAATCTGGTTGTAAACTAGATTTCTCAATAATTTCTTAGGCTACCTGTGCATCCAGAGAAAATTAAGTAAATAAACCTTACTTTCATCCCTGACAAATGACAGTTTAATAACAGAAGGTTTGGTGGTTGTTTTTTTTTTATTTTGAAGATAGGTTAATACTATAATATGGCTGAATGTTTAACCTGGAAGAACTAAGATCAGTTACTATAAATACATATTGAAAACTGAGGATAATCTAAGCAGTTCAAAAAATTATCAGGCTGACGGTGGATCTTCTAGCAAGGCAAGCCTTCTCCAAAAGATATGCTCAAATTCATTCAGGAATTAATAAACCTATTACATAGCAAGTCAGATTAAAATATCACAGTGGTCCCTTAGGGTGTAGTAATCCACGAATACATTACTCCTGTAAGCCCTATACATATTCAGTAGAGGACTCGAAATTCAGCCAATGCAAGAATTGAGTTTGCTGAGGCTACAGCATTGTCAACTCTCTAGCTTGCTTTTTGTTGTCTTTACTTCAAATCAAAGAGGCACCACAACACAGGGCAGCACCAAAACTGAGATTTTGGGTTGACTCGCTGATATTCAGGATGCTGGTGTTTCTCTGTGTGACATACTCTGTGTACATACGCACATGTAAATATGCCTAGGAAGTGCATATGAAGGGCACATAGGAAAACCTGCAAAACAGAAATGTTTCCTCTGTGGATGTTTTTAAAATAGTCAGGTGAAAACAGAGTTCAACCTTTATTTCAGTAATTCTTTAACATTTACACTTAGCACTGTATTACACATCCCAGACACATCATCCAAAGTCATGTAAATTCAAGGGGAGCTTCCTCAAAGGTCAAATCTGAAATCAGAACCAAAATCAACATTCTTTGGATTCTTCTGTCTGATAAAGGGGAAAAAAATGGTCTACTAGAGTTTATGGGACACATTTACTGTGAAAAGTTATGAGTAGTAATTCAGTGGTCCTCATACAAAGTGTATGGAAAGTGAGATCCATCAGATGGATTTCATCACATTCTCCATGCCAATGAAAGTACAACAGTTACAAGAAAAAGGAAAATGTATGTCAGAGGTGACTGACCAAATCATCTGATGACTGAAATGTTTTCAAAGGAATTCAATAAACAGAAATGCCTCTGTATTACTTAAGTGCACCTTTTCCTATTACTGTCCAGAGTGTCTGGCAGAATATTTAGGGTAAGAGCAAATCCTAGCATGTGGGTCCTATTCTTTTTCCTTAGCAGCCCTCACTTGATATTCTTCATGACACAGAAACACTTGGAGATCCCTGCAGTTGGAAAAGAAAAATATGGTTTGTTACACTCTGCATATCAGGCATGGCACTTCTGTCATTTCAACATAACAGAGTAAACTAAACAAACAAAACCAAGTTCCCTCTTGTATTCAGCAGCCACTTCTGCATTTTAGGAAAGTGCAAATTAAGTTCTATTTTAAACTGCCATATTTCCCCTATGTGTAATCAAAAAGGTAACTAAAGATACAACATTTTTTATCCTGACAATTTACATGTACATAAATAAAAAATTTGGAAGGGCATGCCTGTGTGTTCAGGTGTATGGCACCCCAGGCACACGTTCAGGTCAAGCCAAGTGATCCCTGGAAGCAGCTAGTTTCATAAACTCTGACAGACACACTGGGAATGACTATCATCCAAGTATTTTAATCAAAACTTGAACTGAAGGGGGAGGGCAATGGAAAAGCAATTTTCCTTGCTAAAATAAACTAATTAGACAGGACAGATGGAAAAGAGAGTTCCTCTTGTTAAAGGGTTACTATGCAAGCTCAGGTCTTGGTGGCCCTGAAAGCAGAGCAGAGGCCTCAGGACATGTATACTTTGAAGTCTGGCAGTGAAGTCTGGCAGGTAACCAGATGGTTATAAGTCTTCTGCTTATTTATAATTAAACACATCTCAACAGAGTGCAAAGAAACATGCTGTTCTCCATTTGCATATGTGGCTATTTTAAGTCATATTTCAAAATATCATGGCTATTTAAACTTCAAGAACAAATTAAATACAGATTTATTCAAAACCCTGTATAAGGAGAACCAAAGCAAGTGCCTTGATCTTGATATAGCACATTATGAAAACAGAACTACGCCTTGATATCCAGACAGGCAAGTTTATTTTGGCATCAGAAGTCTCCACAGGACAATAAAGGTACGAGATCAAGGAAATGAGGAATGTATATTTAAAAGAGCTAACAAAGCGGAAGAGATTGAATGAAGTCATATCACCGATCCAAAGTAAAAAGTGCTGTATGTAATACTTCTCGCAATATTAGAAGTTAATAAAGATTTTCACAAAGAATTTTATTATTCCTTTTTTGATAGCTGGGGAAATTCAAGTAGCAAGAACGCAATTTGTTCAAAGTCACCAACAAGCCAATTTTATAGGAAAAGAACTGAACATGAAGAACCTGAATTCCTTCCCAGAGTTCCATTATCACAGAAATGCACAAACTGCTATTATATAATATAGTACTTCAGTTTAGAGTTTTGATAGGATTGTTTCTAAACTACTTGAATTATAGAAGAGGCAGATTAAATTCGTATTCATACTTCGTAATGCAAACACATACAATAAGAGGGTGGCATTCAGATACTGTTTTTCCTTTTGTATACGCTTCTTGTAAGCATGAATCATGCTATCCGATGATCAGGATAAGTGATTTAAACTGTTAAGACTGCCTACATTTTGATCCCTTGATAACAGGTCTCAGAATTATTAGGCAGAATTGCTATGTTCTTGCGAGCTTGCTTATTTTAAATGGGTGCTATCAAGGACAACATTCCCAGCATTTGATGTTTGCTGTTCATTTTTCTTCAGGTCTACACCCATGCAGTATTTTGAAAAGGGCAACTTATCGGAAAGTTGTTATTTCCTCTCCTCTAGTCCCAGATATGCTAGGAAACTATTAAGTTCGATCACTTACTTACTCATTAATTTAGCATTATATTTACTAAAAGGCAAATACGTTGGATGCCATTCCAAAAAAAAAAAAAAAAAAGCCTATGAACTCACCCATTAAATTCTTCTTCCTCCCCAGAACAGATGTTATTTTCCTTCTCACACTCCCTGACATCCATCTTGTGGCACACCTACCTGCTCGATTCCTCTGAGCCACCATCGTGCACCATGAACGCAGCTCTGAGCAGAGCAATCATGCCGCAACCCACCAGCAGCAGCCCCTTGCAGTGGTTTGCCTTCCCACAGGGCTGTTTCACAGCAGGAGCAGCCAGGGAAGATGGGAAGGTGGGCATGCTAAAAACCAGAAGGGCTTGGTATAGTGAGGAACAGGCAAGGTGAAAGACCACTCAGCGAAAGGAGGGAGACTGGCAAGCCCTGGCCTGGAAGTAGTCCATGGCAGCTAAGCCTCAGGCACTGCAGGGCTTCCCCTGCTGCTACTTTGGCCTCCTCTGCCCTGAATTATATACTTTTCTGTGTAAATGCTCTAGCACGGTTAGTTCACCTCTTTGTTATGTTGCCACCTGAAGCACTGGGAATGAACTGAACACTTCCACATTACTTTACACCTAACTTCAGGTAAACCTCATAGCAGAGCCCAAGGAATTGTGTATCTGTGAACTGGGCACCAGGGGCTTCTCCTGATCATTAAATTTTGTCTCCCCCTGAGACATAGGTGAAACTGCTGTATTTTTCTCAGTTTTGGTTAAATTTCGTCCTTGACCTCCCAACATACAAAGGCATCTTCTAAACCCCCAGTTCTGTGCGAGTACAGAAACTGGGAAGTCAGACAAAACTATTCCTGCTACGGTATGAAATGCAAGGCTGCATATGTAATACCAAACACATGAACACCACCTCAATTCAGTGGGCTGCTTGGGCACATGCTCCACTTTAAGCGTGAGGAGACCCTGTAAAGTTAGGCATTAATTTCTGATCCCTTGAACCTGCTAACAGAAACCACCATGCATGAGAAGTTACTGAGACACAGCAGAAACAACTGCTGCTGCCAAGCTGAAGGAGCAATGTGGCAGTTTACCTTTGAGCGTGACCCAGTATTGCTTCCATTTTCGCCGTGTGACCAGCTCCAGCTTCTTTTCCTTCTGCAGGGTCACCAGGGGTTTGAAGAACAGCCACCCTGCTTTGCGCACCACTCCTTGCTCTTTCTCATACAACAAATCCAGCTGCTCCAAGGAGCTGAGGGACTCACCACTGGAGTCCTCTGTTTCCGATGAGGTCTCAGTGTTCTCCAGGTTTGTCCTGCTCATCTCCAGCTCCCGCATGAAATTTTCATAAATGTTTTGCCTCAGGGCATCACTGCTGACCGCATTGGCAGACTCGCTTCTCTGGGGCAGGACGTGGCTGGAGCCAGGTGACCACAGCAAAGCAGAGAGCTGGGAAGGTGCCAGCGTGTCTGTGGTTAAGTTCTCCATTCTGCTTTCAAAGTATTCACTCCCATCTTTACACTTTGGCTCCTACGTGAAAAAGGAAATTGTCAGCTATCAGTCACAACATCTACGATGATAAGGTACACACTATTTGGCATTTAAATTTGTTTCACGTTTTGCCACAGCCTGTTCTTTCATCAAAGGCCACCTCTTTTCACCTTTACAATATAGGCTTTGACTTGGCAGCCACTGACACCATTGGTGCTACCACTCAAGGTTTTTTTCAGCAGAAACCTTAACCAAAAGTCTACGAGGTTTGGTAACTCAGAAACGTGTGAGTAATCTCCAGATTCACTAGTAAATACTGGGGCTTCCACTGTCTGAAACCTGATGGACTCCAGCAGACAAACACATCTTCTGGCCAAAACCCAGGCACCGTCGCTTACATGCCTGTTTGGGTACAAGCGGGAACAGTGTCCCAACAAAGTTCTTTATTATCAGGATTTTCAATACTTTGGTGACACAAAGCTACGTTTAGCTTCAGCACAGCTGGGCTGATTTTATCTCCACTTTCTATTTGTCATATAAACTGTGCTTAACCAACACAAAAAAGGTCAAAAGTTGAGAATATTTTAAGCTTGTTAGTATTGACCAATTGACAAAAATCTAATCTAAGGAAGATGTGATTTAAAAAAAGAAAGATGCGCTTGCTGACTGGCATGAATCCAGTCTCCAGACTGCAGCGGTGTGTATTTTCTGACTTGCTGGAAACCCCCCAGGGAGCTCGACTACCTCATCAAGCACCTACAGGCCTTTCTCCTAATTGCATTGTGCAACTTCATTCCTTGTATTGAGAGAGGTGGTCAATCTTATTTGAAGTATTCAGGCCTGATGGTATTTCATGTATGACTTTAACTTTGCCTTGTGATACGGATGCTAACGTAGGCCTATTTCTTGCTACTGCTTGTCAATGTGGGACTTTGTTGGCAAATTGGGTCTTTTATTTTTTAAGCCTTTCCCAGTAATGTGCTTGACTGCTCCCAACTCTCTCAGGCTTCAGTGATGGTCAGGGATTTTGGTAGTACACAAGACAGAGCCCTCTGGACTAATTTCACTCTCAAGTTCCACATCATACATCGTAAGAAGCCATTTAATGTCTTCCCAACCTTAGTGTTACTGATGGTGTTTAAAAGTAACAACAACAACGACAAAAAAGTAAGAGCACACCACAAAAAAACCTACTGCCTTTTGCAGTAAAGAAAATTTGAAAGCGTTTCTTGAAAAGTATAAGGGAAGAGAAAAGAAGATATAACTGCAAACAATTCAAGAAGGGAAGCTATTACCCTCAGTAATAATAAAACTATTATACTTTCCCTTCAACTTTAGACTGCCTCTTTAGAATAATTTATTTGCTCACAGACTTCTGTACATGGATAAAGTAAATAAACCTTGGTCTCCCGAGAGCTGCTCTCACCAGCAGCTTTGAAAGCAACAACTTTTTTGTTCCTTTGTTTCCTACTTGATGCTCTTCAAAACTGCAGCGTAAAAGCTGTGCCGTGTTTTGATAGCATCATGACCTCCAGTGTGCAGCCAAGAGCAACAGAGGGATCGCACACCCTCCCAAGCATGGCCATACAAGCCACTTCACAAGCCACTTCTCAAGCCGCAGGATGCTGCCAGTCGTGGCCTTATAAAAGCCAACTTCAATGGAAACCAATGTTCTCTTATGGTACATCAAAGTTCGAGTCTGACTTTTCAGATGCCTGTGCCTGGTGACAAGGATCCAATTCTCCTGTAATGGAGTACCTTCCTCAAATCGTATTGCAGAGTTTTCATTAGCATTCTCTGAGAGTAACTCCCTAAACATCAACAGTTTTGCTTTTTATAAGGTAAAGGGAGGAAAACTGGAGGGCGAAATAATCATGTGTCTACTGTGTTTCTGCCCAATAAAACAACCATACAACAAGGCTCATCAACTGTGTCAGCCATCTGCAGTTTGGCGGAAAACTGGAAGCTTTCTTCACCCTCTTTTTAATTACTGTCACTGTACATGTGTGCCAAAACCCTGTGTTCTGTTTGACTATTCTCCAGGAACTACCAATGTCCTCTAGAAAACATTAACATACAGTTTATTAAGAATATGTATTTATTTCAGTCCCAAAGGACTAACAAAAAAAACCAAGAGATGAATACATAACATGCCTCCGGTGAAGGGCCACTGCAAGCATTAATGAAAAGGGTGGGATACAACCTGTCCACGTACAGCCACTAACCACACTCCATGTTTTCTCCACTGACAGAGAAAATGTAGAAAGGAGGAAGTACCAGAGTAGAGTAAACGGACACAGGATTCAAAATGAATATATTCACTTCACCATGACAACATCACTTGTATTTATTTTTTTTTAAAGAAAAGAATTGGCAGAGTGACGCAGTTTTTGCTGGTCCTCAGGAAGGTTGTCAACGGAGCAGTATCTGGTCATCACTGAAAAGGTCTGACCCAAATTGCTGAAGATGGTGGTCTCCCTGTCAGGCATATTTCTGTTTATTTTCTTTCTCTTGTATCTATTGATCACAGAAAACTACCACTGTTTCTGCTCACCTGCACTCAAGAAGATCTCTCAATGTCTGAGATGCACCCTGGAACAGTTACAAATAACACAAAAGATAAAGTTGCTAACTAAGATACCAATTAGACAAAGTGATGCATGTAATAATTAGCTGTAAAGAACAGCACAGGAAATAATGCAGCCTACTAAATTAATTAGGACTCAAGCTTAAAGCAGAATGTAATACCAGTTCTCAAGCCAAATAAAGAGGTTGTCCCAATGTACTTTTCTTTTAAATTCTCTTTATACCACATTTCAGGGCTCTGGCTTCAAAGTCGGGAAATTTCAGAAATTATTCCCATAAAGAGGCTAGCTATTTCGTTGAAGAACCTATATGCAGCCATTGTTTCTGATGGGTGGATTTTCATTTTACACAATCTTTGCTTATTCTCTCCATGTTATACAGTTGCAAACTGAGTTTACATCACCACCTTTAGTAGTGGGTGACTGCGCAACAAGTCTGCCTAAATTCTGTCCTCAGGTCTCATATGCACCATATATAACTTGCTGCTCACACATAGTGTACTATGATACAGCACCTTCCTAATGCCACTTCAACAAGGATTAAACTCAACGAGGACATGCCAAGCGGTAGCGCACCATCCATCCAGGGAACACATTAGAACACCTTTGTGCTGCAAAAGCTGGGTCATGGCACAATGACTGCAAATCTTGATGTGAAACCATTACTAGAAAGGGAAACTCAATTCCAGGATATATCAGATCAAGTATGAGATCAAGTCAGACATAAGGAAATACTCAATTCACTGGACAGGGCACAGCCGAGGGCTCCTCTAGAATATCCCATATCCAAATCCGTTTATGGATGATTTAAAACAGGTGCAGAGGAAGGGTGCCAGAATGAAAAGGAAACAGATTTCCTATCTTAAAGGCAGGAGACCAAAGAGAGTCTGCATAGCCCTGCAAATGCAGGCCGAGAAAAGATATCATGTCTCCCTTTAAACAAATCATAACAGATTAAATAATAGGGAAGGATAACTAACGCAATGGACAACACTGGCACCAGAACAAACTGGCCAGAACTACATTTACTCTGCAAATTCGCAGGCATCAGAGTAAGAGGGTTTGGAAACAGCCTTCAGGATGGGGAAAAGCCCACCTGATTTTAAGCTGCAATTTATTCACAAAAGAAATTAAACTTCACTGCCTCTCTAGAAGCAAGGAACTGGCCTGATTATCCCAAGACTGTGTCTGCTGGTCCTGTGACCCTGTGAAGCAGGAAGCTTGGCCAGCTTGTTTCCGCTGGCGCAGCCAGAGGGACCTGTCTACTCAGCCAGCACCAGCGCTTAGGCCTATTTACAGGGAAATATTCCAGCTTTCACCTAGATGCAGCCCAAGTGACTCACAATCAGTTATTAGTAATGTGATGAAGAAGTGACACATTGTTCAGAGCAAAGCACGGAGGCTACAGTTGCCGTGACGAACAATCCTACAACAGGGACTAAACATCTGACAGATCGTAACCACACACAGTACTTCTGCGTTTTTAAGCCAAAGGAGGACCCAGCAAGAGTGTAATTGTTACCAAAATACAACACAGCAACCCCTGGAAGAGACAGCAGGTTACTCAAAGTGTGCAAGGCAGAAAGGAGCTGATCAAGCCTCACAAGGAAAGCAAAAACCATAAAGCATTCACTACCCTTCTTATCCTTCCTGTCACTGGATGCTTGTCTGATAAAAATCAATGACTAACTATTTCCTAAGCCTTTTTCTAAGAAGTCACCATTTTTGGAACTTGGGCTGATTTCCTTCTACCAGAATCAGATTCAAGCTTGTTGGCATCTCACTAGCCAAATTTCCTTGCTGCGTCTGAAGTCAGTCCACTGCACACAGAATTCAAAACAGCTATGAATCGTGCACCACAAATACCGTTCTGAAAACATCATAACTAAGTAATATATGGCAAAGTTCTGCGAGGCAGAGATCATACGTAAAGCCTGGTTGTAAAATCCAGAACAGCTACGGATGTTAAAACTGGTGAGGAATCCTGGCACAAGGCACTGAGGCTCTTCACTGATCCTGATTTTTCTGCCTCCTTTTTCACAGCTGAGTGAGAAAGTGTATTTATCTGATAAAATACATGAGCACCCACTTACAAAAGAAGTGATCCAAGTAAACGGCTTTCATTTTCCCAGTTCTGTAGCCCTTACCTAGGATTTGCACTGACCTCATTTCTGAGCCTAAGGGTCCTTCAGAGTTTAACACTGCAATGACAAATGCCTGTTAGCACGATACCTGTCTGAATTTCTAACACGGGAAACAGCCTTTGCTTTACATGCCCCAGAGAGTGCATGTTACAGGGTTCCCTTCACTCTCCGCTCACTTCTGAAATGGCCAGCAACCCAATGTATTGAAAGGGAGCAGATCCTGTTCCTGTATAAGAAACACTAGGGAAGACTAAAAACAAAAAAAATCCAAACTAAACCCAAAAACAGTCTCTGCCCTCCATCTCAGCTTGTGAACTCACATGCAGAAGTCCAGGCACAGTCTGGCATTTAAACAGCAGATTCTGGGCCCTACAGTTAGAGACGAGAATTTTGTTCCTGACCACAGGCATCCTAAATTCCTATTAATGGGATTAGTCTTAAATTCTTCTAATGAAACATCCTTTCCCTCCCTCTTGCCCTCCTCCCATCTCCTTCTTCACACCACCATCTCCCGGTGAGCCAGATGGCAATTCAAGCTTTTCCATCTGGTGAACTAAGCTGACACACAGGAAGGAGGAGGGTGCTCCATGTAATGCCTTCAGAGGAGGGGGAGGCAGAACCAGCAGCTCTGGTCGGTACTCTACAGTTGCTCAGCTTGCTAGAGATGGACCAGCAGTGAAACCAAAGTGACTAACGAAGCTAATAATATAAATAGAGAATACTTGCAAAGATACTTATATCCTCCTTCTTTTACTGCTCCTTCTACACTCTTTATGCTGATTCATAGCATATGTATGATATCTAGGTTATATTTTCATATTTGAAACAGAGAAGGCTTAAAAACTCCAGGTCGCTTTGTAAGCAATGCAATTATTTCAAAAGCTAATTCACTGAGAGATTAGGCTGCAAAGATTGGAGTTAACTAAGAAGGTGACAAAATAGTAAGGGAAAATCTGCACACACAAATATATATCTTTCTCTGCTGTGGACATTTCAGACAGCTCCAGGGATGCAATACTTCTGAGTTCCACAAACTACCAAATGAGATTAGCATGTAATTATCCTGTGAGAAAGACAAACATTAGGTAATCACTACATTTATAAGAAGAATCTACAAACCAGGTTTCTGGCACTTAGGTTGGGGTTTGTACATACCTGCAGCTTCCTTTTCTTCCTTGAAAGACTTCCTGTCCAGTCACTGATGCGTCGCATTCGGTTTTTTAATGTATCCTTTTTGGATGTATCCTCACTGAGTGGCTTGGACTTTCTGCATGGGAGTGTGTAGGATGAATAATGTGCAGGACTTCCCTGCTCTACCCTGGAGGGAACATCAATGTCCGAGGCAAACGAGACACGGTTGCTTAGGCTACCATGAGTATCAATATATTCATCAGACAGCCTGATCCCAGGTGGAGGGGTGATTTCCAAATTTGTATCCTTATAGAGATCTCGGAGTGAGGAAAGAGATGAACTTTGGTTGAAGGACTTCTTGTTGTTGCTTGCCGGGAAACTCGCATGAATGCTTGTATCTGGAGTGCTCCTGGTCAAATATGGACCATCCAACTCACTGATATCCCCAGCATTTCCCCAGAGAGAGTCATACCATGAAGACTCGGAGCTGAGGGAGCTTCCTTTACTAGATCGAAGCCTTGAATCAGTAGGTGACAGATGATGGCTTGAAGAATAGTCTGCACTGGAGTTCCTCCTGACATCAAGCAGGGTATTTGGCTTAGATTCCAAGGTAGGCGAATACCTCAGCAACTGGACTGGTCCACTGGACTCCTCGGTCAGCACCTTGCTGTTGCTGCTGTTGTGGAATTCAACCCTCAAGCAACCGTCCAGCTTCCCCAGGGTTTTAATGAGAACTTTCGGACTCCTCCTGTCCCCTGCTGGGGAGGTTGATGCAAGACTCTCATTCTTTCCGTAGCAATTTAAAATGTGTCCATTGCATTCTTGGGAGGCAGCGTGATTACTTCCAGCTTGAAGGCCAATATAGTGGAAACCGTTCTCGGGCAAAAACACCGCGTTAGTTCCTTGGCAGTAGTCCCCTGAGGTGTTTGTCCTGTGTTTGGCATGGGCATTGCTTTTAGAGACCTTCACCACAGTGTCACCGAGTCTAGATGAATAAGGTTGACTACTCTTGAAGTGTGAAAGGCAGCTTCTGGTGAGGGACCTCGATTTGTAGTTTGAGCTGCTACTGGTATGTCCCCATCCATGCATGGAGCAAGACTTTTCATCTTTTGCATGAATGCTGCGAATTTTCAGAGAGCAAGGCTTCTGCTTGGCACCAGCTGTAGCAGCAGCATGATTTTTTGATCCCTGAAGACTGTATTGGCTTTCTGAATTCCCCATTTTCCACTAAAGAAAGAAGGGTTTCATTAGAAACAATGACTACAAGACAGAGCAAAAAGTAACAGACCATTTTTACCCTCTACACAGGAAAGCACACTTTTAAAAAAGATATGAAACAAATTTTTGAAAAAAAATCCTTAAATAGCCATTTACATCATTAAATTCATAAGTGAACTTATTTTAGGGGCAAGTTAGGAAAGCCTATTCTCTATATGGTTCATTACCCCTCTGTTATAAAGCTGGAATCTAACTCCATTGAAATCATGTCAACACCTTTCTCCACCCACACCCTTGGCAACATCCTTTTCTTACAACTTACAAAATCTCTGGCTCCTAAGAACAATGGCATAATGAAAGGGAGACAGCAAGATAATCATAACTTAGATGTAAAGTCAGCTGTACTTTCAGAGAAATCTCTTCTGCCAGGAGACAAGCCCACTGCAGTTTCAGCTTGACTGGTTTCCACACAACTAAGTGTTGCCTCAATAAACTGTTCAGCAAACCTCAGCTTTGTGTTTAAACAGTCAATCCAGGAGAAAGGAAGAAAAAAAAAACCCACATCAAAAAAAAAACCACACAAAAAATAACTTGGTTAGCGAATAGCCTCATCTTCCATTACAACACAAAACTGCATTATGCTCATTCAGCATGGCGCAGTTCGATAGTTTACTTAGTAAAACACTCTTCAGCTTTTTACTGAATTCACAGAGAACACCACACACTGGAGCAGTCAAATTGCCCCAGTGAGATGACTGAAGATTCTGGACCTACATAAAGTGTGCCCCATAGTAAAGATCAAGTCGTTCTTTTTGTTACTTGGAGTGACTCTCAATTGTTCGTAATTTACAGAAACATTAAAGTGCTTTTCCCATCAGCATTATGCTTCTTTGCACATTAGATCTCAGACTATCACTCTTAGGAGAATTCACTGCAGCCTCATTAAAATTTTGTCAAAATAAGACATTGTGAAAACCAAAATCTTGTCTCCTAGAGTGTGCATGTATTTTAACATCTCTACCTCTAGCTCTTAGCACTTTTAGATGAAAAGCATAGTATAAAACGAAGAGCACACCTGTAGGATTACTCTTAAACACGGGCACAGTTAGCAGTCAGCACACTCTGCATTGTCTTCATGGTCAGACGCTACGCTTGCCAAAACCAGGATGGAGTTGCATGCAGCCTTCCTAGAAAACACCAAAAGGACAAAAAAGGGCTCTCAGTCAAATAGAACTTAGGGTTTGCTCTAGCTGTAGGCAAAATGAATACCAAAACCAATCAGACAGAAGTTATAAATGGAGAAGAGAGGTCTACTTAAGGGGATTCCCGGATCTTAAACATAAATTTTTATAAACATACTTTAACAACTGGCACTGAATTAATACATTAAAGTCACTGTGTAGTTAAGTGTTTTATTTGCTAATTTTGTCTTTCTTCCCACTCATTGACAGGTTAGGGAGAGCTCTGAGCCACCCTCAGTATGCTTTTTGGAAGACCAATTACAGATGGCAGGATTATGCAGTGAACCATTACAATTTGGACCAAACCAATCAGAGCAATGTCCCGCAGCATCCATTTATCCTTCCCCATGCCTGGATTCCACCCATGACCCTTGCAGTGCAAGGCCACTGCACAATTCACTTCCAACAACCACCCAGCAACCTCTTCTCTTTAGGTTTGTTCTGATTTTAAGCTAATTTGCCAGTAAAACAAGAAAAAGGCAGTGCCAAGTCCTGCACAGACCCAAAGGTAGCAAGACCCAAATTCTTCCTGACCATCTGAACCTACCAGCTCTTCACCTGGCACACGAAGGCTGCAACTCAAAACAAAAGGACAGAAGCTGAGTCTCACAAAACACACCAGCGGTTTAGGGATTGAAACACTCAGCAGAAGAAGCTGTACCAGATCTTAGGCTCAGTTTTAGAACAAATGTTTTAACTAGAAACCATTCTTAACTTACTACCCCCCAAAAATCATCTTTTCTGCATAAATTCAGTGGCTACTGTTCCTAATTTTTAACTGAATAACTACCTGACTTGAACACGCAGAGTTTTGCTATTTTTGACTCGTTTTACTGTATAAGAACCTTGAAGGTATTTAAAGGAATTCATTGGTAACCTAGGTATTTTGCTAACCTCACCAAAAACAGAGGTAAATGTTTCAAACAAGAACTAAACACAGCCTCAACAGCAAGCCTAGAAAAAGCTTGGCAAATAAATTACTTAGAAGAGACATAGCCTTTTAGATCATGCTAGAGGTGCTACAGACCTATAAACACAAATTCATGGCTGTTATCACAAAGATATTTGATAAAACAGATAAGCCACAGAAATTACATCTAACCCTCCAAAAAAATTAATCTATTTAACTTGCTTATTTTCTCTAACAATTTGGAAAGTTTCTATCTAGAACGCTCCCGCCTTGCAGGCTTGATTTGTTTGTGCTACTAAGTGCAACAGTTTAAAAACATCATATGCAACATGGATTGAACAAAAGACTTTTGATTCAAGGTAAACAGAAGACAACACACAAACATCCTAAGCTCCAAGCTGCTGAACAAATTGTGAACCCCCAGCAAAACTGCCTTTCTCAATCCAGGAGGCGCAGACCACAAATAAGTAGAGTTTACATTCAGAATTCTTCATCTGGGAGCAGAAACTATATTCAACAAGGGGGCTTTGAAGGACTTATATCTATTCATAGGGGAACACTGAGCCCAATTTGTCTAAAGAAATATGCAAAAAGACCATCTGGTCTCCATAGTGATTGTGCAATGGTTAGGTAATCCTTTTAACAGAGTGGGTAGCGAGCAAGATGCTGTCACGAACCTCAGCAGGTAGACATTCAATTCATCAAGGCTCAAGCTGCTGTGATGGGGTCCATTGTACGTGTGTGATCCAATACACAGGTCACATAATGGATGAGCGAATAAATTTATCTTGGGGTACAATGTCTACAAAACAGTGTCTCAGTGTGTGCAGGAATCAGTCAGCAGTACAACAGAACAGTCAATAAATCCCACAGAAATAGCCCTGAGGGATTTTTCTCAGCATCCCAGCCGTCCAGAAAGCAACGGTAGGCTAAACATTCGCACACACTGTGATAACCAATGGGGGCGTCTGCAAGGCTGCACAAAGACCATCACCCTCAAAAATCAGCTGTCATGTTTTTCTCTCATCTCACACTTACGTGGAGTGATTTTCTTCCTGTTAATTACAAAGGCGGCAGAGGGGGGTGGGGAGGAAGGGCCACGGTGTGAAGGAAGTCAGCTTGTGCCCAAAGTCAGCATGACACTGGGGCAGGGAGGTGGTCATGGACAAGCTGTGGCTGTGCTTGCTCCAAACACTCACACATTTTACACTATCTGAACTGTGGAAGCACTGGAAATTGCAGTGCAGGGGACGGAGTTCGGCTTCCCCTGTATTTCTCACAGCAACCTACTACTGCAGGAGACAACGTTCTTTTCTCTCTCCCTATGCAGAGGGATGAATACTTGTTATGAACAAAATCAGTTTCTATGAATATTTTCTGCAATTATAATCAGTATATTTAGAAAGAAGCTCACTGTGCCTGAAGATGTCTATAAAGAGTTTATTTGCTTTCAATTATACCCACATTCCCTAAAAAAGAAGTTTTTAATCTTCACCCTGGTTCCCCTTGACACATTCAAAAAACACAGCTATGCAAACATACTAATCCGGGAACCCCACCATCCCCACCACACCCAATAATTAACGCAAATCATAACCCCAGAGCTAAAAACGTATATCCCTACGTGGAGAAGCCCCAAGGTAAAGTTCCCCTAGACTTTTTTGACTCTGAAAAACAAACACACAGTATCAGGAGCTGCTCCGGAGAAGCGTCTGCCACCTATATCCCCTCATTAATACCACCACAGCTAGACTGCTTTATAAATGCTAGAGGAGAAAATGCCTTTCTTAAGATTAAGGTGAGCACACATACAAACAGTGCTCTGCAATTGCAAACACGCTTTCCTCCCCAGTCTTACTCTCTCAAAACAAAGGTTTACAGAGCTTGACTTGGCAACCATATTGCAAGCAAAACTGAAGCATAACAATAATATCCCAATACTAGATTTACATATGAGATACAACAAGGAATTATTATGTTAGGAATTAGTGGGAAATCTGAGTCAAGGAAGACAGGCTCCTGTGCTGGTCTGATCTGCTACAGCGGGAACACACACCAAACATTATTTCACTGCTGCCAACCATCTGCTTCCAGTACAGTCACATGAAGCAGGCTGAGACTCTAAAACTACAGGGCAGAAACTGCTTGGAGGCAAGCACAGAGCCGTAAGCAGACTGAATGCTCCACAACCATAGTCAGTCAAACAGTGGCCACATATCAGTTACAAAAAGGCAAGAGATTGCAGTAGCATCTTTCTAGGCAAGTCCAGCAGATTTCCCTGACTGGGATTGACAATCTCACCGCCCAGGATGTTGCAAGGGCTCACCTACTGTCAGCCATAGCAATGTTAAGCTTTAGCCTGGATTGAGAAGTTAGCCTCATGAGACATGAACACATGGACCAAAGCTATCTCTCTGATGCATTTTGATGCCTTTATTCTTTTGGACAGCTAGTAACAACAAACCTTCAATGGCAGTTGTATAATTAGGGATCTACAAACTGTTTAACCCATGCTGAAGCTTCCTCCTCAAAAATCTACTGATGAGGTGCAGGGAAGTTGATTCTCACTTCACTGAACATGGCATTAGTCCAAAAATGGCAAAAACAGTGACAAACAAAAGAGAACAGTATGGATTGGTCCAGCTGAGGACCACATCATCCCATCAAATTAGTACCACTGGGTAAGGACTCGTTAAGAAATGTGGGACCTCATGAGAGTCTGCAGCATTACCAGGGACAATAACTCTTTATGCACAGCAGAAAAGCCTAAATTTAAAACCTCTCGTCTTTAACAAGAAAAAGGCTTTTAAAAGAAGAGCTAAATTAAGAGCTAGAAAATAGGTAAGAGCTACAGCTAGCTGCCTTACTCCTAAAAAATAAGAGTCTACAGGTTTTCAGTTCTTTACAATGAACACCAGGACACAGTTTAAACTTTTTAAGAAGTCCTGTCCTTGAGGAAAGAACAGAAAATTATTCAAGAAAGAAATAAGCTAACCAAGTATTTTATTCCTACTTGTAGCTTAAGCAGCAACCATGTGTCACAACCTCTTCAGACTTTCCTCATCAACAACAGGATTGTTACTGGTACCAGTGTGGTACCTTTCAAGAGAACAACGGGACCAGCTCTTGAGTGCCTGCTGCCAGGCATAGTTCCTTCATAGCCTTTCACACAGGTATAAATGTCTGCCAAAGCCAGGCAGAGCTTCAACTCACTTTGTGGTGATATGAATACCTCTACAAAGGGACTTTATATGCGAAAGGCAGAGTATACACCATCAACTACCACAAGGGCAGGTAAAGACCCCCAGCTGCAGAGTGGGACTGAGACAGCCACCTTCGGACTGAGCATGGCGGGGTGGGATGGTGTGGAAAGGAGAAAAGGCAGTGCCAGGGGCTGTACACGGGCAGCTGCTCCAAGTGTGCGGCTCCTAAGTGCACCACGGGAGACTGCCAGCAGGATTAGTGGGGCTGGGATAATGGAGAATCTGAAAGTATTTCAAAGCAATAAAAAAGGAAACAGAACACCCTCATTTAAATGAAATGAATGACTAGTTTTCTTCTAATAGTGGGTTTAGTTAGAAATGTTGCAGGCTTTGACGTACAGCAACTACGCTAGTGTTTTTTTACACCAGGAAAAGCTTTTTTTTAAAAAATTGACTGAGCAATTTCTATTTTTTTCTTTCAAACTAATTTTACATTTTCTTTCACCTAACAGTTAAAACACCATCCATTTTAAATGGCTTATAAAGACTTAGAAATTGTATATAGTATCTTTCAGATACTAACATGCTCTTAAGTTTTTCAAAGAATCAATGGGCTTTGTGAATTCTTGCAGGGATACAGAATTACAGGTTTGAAGTTTTAATTAACTTTAAATCTACTTTGGTTTTTAACATGAAAGTAATACTGAATGTTAGAATATGAACCTGCTCTCCTCCCTGCACGGCTGTGTATGGATGGATATATGAAATTCATGAGGGAGGCAGGTTAGCACAACACTGTAGCTGGATTAAATGTGGGGTTTCTTATTGGAAACAA